TTTCGTAGAGGTAGGTACGATTTTATAAATCTTCCTCAATTCCACACTCCAACAGTAATTTTAATAATAAATTTCAGGATCCCAGCCCTATCCGTCCACATAAATCAAAATTGTAGCATATTTAGTACCTTAAGTTTGTACGTTAAGTTTGATACTGTCTACGTTCAATACTGTCTCAATCCTGTACTCGAACAGTAATTTTATTTTCAAATATAAGTTTTCTATTTCTATGTCTATCTCTATCCTTTCATTTAAATCCAAATTGTAATAAACTTAGTACCATTTAGTACACATAATCATGCATTTTCAAAACTACCTCGATATCTCAATCTTACACTCCACCCTTAATTTTGAATCCATCTATATACACTCAACTAAAAGCAAATAGTACCAAATTTAGTACCACTTAGTACTTTTTAAAAAACATAAGTACGAAAATCTTAAACTATTTCCATACATTAACACCACTTCCCAACCTGTATTCCATATAAAATTTCAAGATTTTAGCTATATATGTTCAATATATATACAATTAGAACTAAATTTAGTACTTTTAGTACACTAATAGTTCGAATTTCCAAAAACCCTTTTGTATAGCTTTCTAACTTTCCATCAGTGACCTACATTCCAAATTTCAGAATTCTAGCTCTTACCGTTCGCCTTCTAGTTCGAATTTCCAAAAACCCAGCCTTATCTCACGCCTACACACTCAACATTTCAAATTTCTAGCTTCAGCCGTTTCGTCTGGACGATGATCTCTGTTATATATAAGCTCTTTTATATATGTAGATAATTACGAATTTTTATAACTACCTCCATGTCTCATCCTACACTCCAACCTTAATTTTAACTCCAAATTTTAGGATTCCCGCTCAAACAAAACAAATTATACCATATTTAGTACCAGTAAGTGTCAATAAGTACGAAATTCCAATACTTCCATAATTCTGTAATTTTCATTTACCATCTCTATCCGTTAACTCTAATCAAAATTGTACCAAGTGTTGTACCATTTAGTACACATGCTTCTGCACTCCAACTGTAATATTAAATAAAAATTTCAGAATATCAGCCTTCATCATTTAGTACTTTTTGTTTCTATAATTAAAAATTTCCAAACCTATGTCAATCCTACACTCCAACAGTAATTTTAATTCCAAAATTCTGGAGAATATCAGCCTTCATCATTTAGTACTTTTTGTTTCTATAATTAAAAATTTCCAAACCTATGTCAATCCTACACTTCAACAGTAATTTTAATTCCAAAATTCTGGAGACCAGCTCTATCCGTTCTCTAATAACCAAGTTGTACCAAATTTAGTACCATTTAGTACACATAAGTACTATACTTCCATATATGAATTATACACTCCAACAGCAACCATTATTTCAAATTTTAGGTTTCCAGCTCTCTCCGTTCACCCAAATCCTAATTGTACCAAATCTAGTGCCGTTTAGTACTTTTCGTACACACAAATACGAATTTCCAAAGATGTCTCTATAGCTCAATCTTCAACAGTAATCAGAATTCCAAATTTCAAGGTTTAAGCTCATTCGTTTAAGCAAAATCCAAATTGTACTAAATTTGGTTCCATATAGTACTTTTCGTACCAATAAGTAACTACCTCAATCCTACATTCAACATTCATTTTTTTTATACCCTTCACCACACTGTGGTACAGGGTATTATGTCTTTGTGCATATGTTTGTAACAGGCAAAAATAATCGAGATAGACCCATGGTTCCTTTTGAGAATATGCATAGAATCACTTTCTAAGTCGATTTATGCATGTCCGTCCGTCCGTCCGTCTGTCTGTCTGTCTGTCCATGTTAAATTGTAAACAAAGTACAGGTCGCATTTATGATCCGAATTGGATGAAATTTGGCATAGGTCACTTATTCGGCCCAAGGACGAACCCTATTGAAATTGGGAAAAATCGGTTCAGATTTAGATATAGCTCCCATATATATATTTAACCGATTTAATGTAAACGGTCCCTATATATCTTTCGATTTGCACGAAATTTGGTACAGGCTAATCATTTAGGCCTATAATGATGTCTGCTATGTTTCGTGAAAATCGGTCCAGATTTAGATATAGCTCCCATATATAGTTTCGTCCGATTTCAGGAAAATGGTGCCCCAAAGTCCCTATATATCTTTTGATTTGCACGAAATTTGGCACAACGTACTGAATTAAGCCTAGAGTGATGTCTGCCAAGTTTCGAGAAAATCGGTCCAGATTTAGATATAGCTCCCATATATAGGTTCGTCCGATTTCATGTAAATGGTGCCCCAAAGTCCCTATATATCTTTTGATTTGCACGAAATTTGGCATAACGTACTGAATTAAGCCTAGAGTGATTTCTGCCAAGTTTAGAGAAAATCGGTCCAGATTTAGATATAGCTCCCATATATAGTTTCGTCCGATTTCATGTAAATGGTGCCCCAAAGTCCCGATATATCATTCGATTTCCACGAAATTTGGCATAACGTACTGAATTGAGCCTGGAATGATATCTGCCAAGTTTCATGAAAATCGGTCCTGATTTAGATATATCTCCCATATATAGTTTCGTCCGATTTCATGTAAATGGTGCCCCAAAGTCCCTATATATCTTTCGATTTGCACGAAAATTGGTACAGCCTAATCATTTAGGTCTAGAATGATGTATGTAAAGTTTCGTGGAAATCGGTCAAGATTTAGATATAGCTCCCATGTATAGTTTCGTCCGATTTCATGTAAATGGTACCCCAAAGTCCCTATATATCTTTCGATTTGCACGAAATTTGGCATAACGTACTGAATTGAGCCTAGATTGATGTCTGCGTTGTTTCGTGAAAATCTGTCCACATTTAGATATAGCTCCCTTTTATTATAGATTGATTTTAAGTACTTGACGCACAAAGGAACCAATAGGAACAAAACGTTCTGAAATTAGTATAAGTTATCCTGTGACAAGTTTGTTTGAAATCGCTTAATATTTGGCCCGATTTCAAGTAAATTGGGCATCAAACTCCTCATGTTAGTCAGTTTGACATCAAATTTTGCATAGAATTATGTAGTTTCGTTTTCTAGAAGTACAGACATAGCCCAACGGATGACCTATTTATATTTGTGTGAAGTCGATTTACATACTTTATGGATAGATCTACGTAGATTCACATTTTGATAAATATCACATATTTTATTTCATTCAAGTTCATGCTAATAGTCCTGTTTAATATACCCATAGTGGTGAAGGGTATCATATAGTCGGCCCCGTCCGACTTTACTACTTTCCTTACTGGTTTTTTTTTTTTTTTTTTTTTTGAAGACTCCAGTTCTATCTGTTCACCTAAATCCAACTTCCACCAAATTGTTTTAAAAAATTGCTTTAAAAAATCGTATCGAAAAGTACACATAAGTACGATTTTTTAAAGCTGCTTCAATCTTGTGCTCCAATAGTAGTCCTGATTCCGATTTTCCGGATTCCATCTCTTTACACTCAACTAAATGCAAATAGTACCAAATTTAGTACCATTTTGTACTTTTTATACACATAAGTACGATTTTTTAAAGCTACTTCAATCTCTTGCTCCAATAGTAGTCCTGATTCTGATTTTCCGGATTCCATCTCTATACACTCAACTAAATGCAAATAGTACCATTTTGTACTTTTTATACACATAAGTACGAATTTCTTAAAGCATTTCCATACATCAACACCACTTCTCAACCTGTATTCCATATAAAATTTCAATATTCTAGCTATATAGGTTCAATATGTTCAAAATATATACAATTAGAACTAAATTTAGTAATTTTTAGTACTTTTAGTACACTTATAAGTCGAATTTCCAAAAACCCTTTTGTACAGCTTTCTAACTTTCCATCAGTGACCCACATTCCAAATTTCAGAATTCTAGCTCTTCCCGTTCGCCTAATACAAAGGGTACCATATTTGGTACATTTTAGTACTTTTCGTATCCTTCTAGTTCGAATTTCCAAAAACCCAGCCTTATCTCACGCCTACACACCAGCAACAACCCACACACAAAATTTCATTTTAGCCGTTTCGTCTGGGCGATGATCTGTCAGTCACTCACTCCCTCACTCACTCCCTCACTCACTTAACACTAAGCTCTTTTATATATATAGATAGATAGATATTTTCATTTCATGTATCTGTCAGTATGGCTCGAAAAGTTCGTACCGGCAAAAGTTAACCCTTTTTTCACTTGCTACTTTTCTTATTATTCATTTAAATCTGTATTACAGAAAAAAAAAACATTAAGAATTCACAATTAAAAGCTAAATTTTTGAAACTAATAAAACATTTTAATTTCAAAACTATTAGCGCGATGTTTGATTTCGTATCTTTAACAAAGGGTACTACATTGGGTATTTAATTACCAAATATTTTTCTTATGCATTTTTATTATTTATTTTTTTGCTTCGATGGCCAATATTTCGTGCAAATAGTTTTCTGTATTTCGATTGAGTTTCATGAGATGAAAATAAACACAAACTCACACAACAAAAATAAATCTGTATTCAAGCTGAATGTATATGATGATACTTACTTACTTGTTTTTGTTTGTCCCCCAAATATCTGCTATTGTATATCGGTGTGTATGTATGTAAATACATGTGTACAACTAATTACCCGCTTGTTCGGGTAAGCACTACATAAGTACTTATACCATTGTTCCAAAAGAAAGTACCAGTACCTACTCGCCAATACACTAGCCACGCGTTTGAGTGACGAATTTAACATGGGGATGTCATTGGAGGTATGTAATCGTCACCCTCTCGTTTACCTTCCATTAACGAAAACAGTAATGACAAGTTCAGTGACTATTCGTTTATCATTAATAATGAACTACTTCGTTAACAATGAATAATACATTACTTCGTTAACGATGAATAATGATCTACTTCGTTAATGATTAATAATAAAAGAATTCTGCATACGCAGTACTATGCAGAAGATCCCTATGAAATCAAAATCCACATATTTAATTCAAAAAATACAAAATTATTTATTTAAAACAAAACCAAAAATACTTCAAATAATGAAAATAAACGTCTGAAAATTATTTGTCTGGCTTATTTTTGATCAGCATGTCTTTGCACCGATATATTTTTAAAAATTCTCCTTTTCTGCAATTGAAATGCCTTCCGAATTTGGTCATCCGCTGGACCAATATTATTTGTTTTGGCCATTGAGACCGCTTCTGAAAATGAAAAAATATAAATGTATTATTTATATCGGGTTTTAAGACTATAATTATGCTTACCTAACAGAACACCATAAAAGTTGTTAAGTTGTTTAAAACTTTTCTTCCCTTGAACACCGTCGACATTGTAGGCCATGGTAACATTGTCGTTTAGGATGCATTTTAAGTTTTTGTGAACCCCGGCTGGTTCTAGCATTGATCTCATTGCTTTTATCTAAAGATAAACTTGATATACAGCTATTCATATTTAAATTAAAAATGATGAAATATCTTACATATTGATTTCTATTTTCAGCATTTATTTCCTTGTCAATTTCAATTAATTGTTCTTCAGATTTTATTGGAAACTTCTGTATTACCGGAATTTCTTCGTATGTTTGCTTTAAAATTTTGGTCAATAATTCTTTATTTTCCGCCAGTGCTTCTGCAACAAACTTGATCTGTCCTAAGATTATATACATTTATGTATACATATATATATATATATATATATATATATAAATAATTTATTGAAGATATTCTTATTAAAAAATTACCTTGAAGGACGTTAAATTGGTTTTGTAAGGATTCTGCATCCTTTTTGACACCCTCAATTGTCTTTAAAACATCATTGAGGTTAGTATTTGATGTAGGTATGTCTGAAATTAGAATAAAGTTAGAATATTTAGAAAAAATCCCATTAAATATAAAATAAACAAATACTTACTTTCAGAATAGGGTGTTAATGTTATGCGTTTTATTTTTTTTGGTGGGCTCGGTGAAGAAGACATGCTATATAGTTTTCCTCATGTGTAAATAAAAAATAAATAAAAAAAGGTATTAAAAACAGGCGTGTAGAATAGGAATCAATACAGATTGAGAATTATAAGGAAATAGAATTGCTTTACATTCTACTTCACTTAATGGAAAGTTCTGAAGTTCGCCAGAAAGTTTGGAGTCAACTAAATAAATTCCTAATGAAATAGAATCACACGGTTCTTTATAAAAACTTCGAATATTTAAAAATTTGTGTCCAATGAGGGTTCCTCCATTTTCTTGCGAAAATCCATGAATATGAACAGGAATTCCGTTTTTAATATAACAGTTGTTATCCGGTGCCTTCGAAGTCAAAGTACAACTTTTAAAATGAAATTTGGTTTCGTGTGCATTAAGACTTTTGTATTGTGTTTTGGTGCAAAACTTTTCTTCACAAACTTTCCTATAAATTTGTTCTAAAATCTTTGATGGCCTTTTTACGCATTTTTTTAAACTTTGTAAATAATTTTCAAACAAACAGCACGAATTTTCAGTTGGATTAGCAATGAGGTCAATACTTTCTTTTAAATGAAGTAGATTATGTACATTGTACGAAACACTATTTCCTCCAAATATTAGCGGGAAATTTTGTACAAATAAATTGAGGAGAATTTCAATTGTATCCAAATTTTTCCCGCAGTGTTTGGGACAGCACATCATTCTGTAAAAACAGTGTAACAATAAAAATTCATAGTACACATCATCGTGTATTTCGTCTTTTAAAACTACAACACCTGTGTACAACAAAAACTGTCTGAACTCAGTGGCTTTCCAATATGAAATATCATCCATTGATCGTGGCTTTCGTGCAAATTCGGATGAAATATGACCACGCAGAGATAAAAGTTTTTTAGAAATGTTTTGCAAATTTTCCCTTGGCGCTGGAAAACAAATTTTCTTATTAATAAGCCTTAACAAAATTTTTCGCATTACGCCTAAATCCACTAAATGCATGCAATCTAATGGTATTTGGGTAATCATTCGCACATTAAGGAATTCTAATGGCGTTTTTTGGGTTAAGTACTTCTTCGTGTGATGATGAGGATATTTTCGCACACGAAAATCTTCATCTGAAATAAGTATTTCCGATGTTGTGCTATATGTTAATGTTCCCTCACATTTCTTTCCTCGTTGCGTACATTTTGAGCATCCATGTCGTGATGCATGAGAAGGAGTGCCTGTAATGAATGCACGGGCAGGTGCGTCACAAAGAACTGCTCTAATGCTAATTTTACGGCCATTTAATTCTATGACAGTTCCCAAGTATGGTGATACTTCATCAATAAAACGAGAAAGAAATTCCTCACATGTCGCTGGCTTACTTTTTCCAACGAAAACGCAAATTGGAAATACTGGTTGGCCACAACTGTGTCTTGGAACTTCTGAAAAGTGGCAAACCATCTACGTTTATATCAATGATAATATTTGTGGGTAGATTTAATACTTCGGCTATCCTCTTTAAATGGAACGACAAACCAATGTGCATGTATGCACCACCAGCAATGTTTTCCACTATCGGTCTATTCGGGCAATGGAACTTATAAAATGGAGTAACAACTATATTTTCCTCTCTTAATATTTCAATAAGGTCCTTTACACAACTTCGTGATGTTCTGTGTTTTACATTCCATTCCTTCAATTTTTGGCTAATGCTTAAATTTTGACTTTCTTGTGCATTACCATTACATTCCAATTCTTCCACTTGTTCTGTTTCAGTTTCCACTAAGTCAGCATCTTCAATTTCATAACAATCATTTTCATTATTGGAGGTGTTGTCCATATTTCCTATCTCAACATTCATAAATCTGTCCACATATTTTTCCTTTTCATTCTTTATTAATCTTTTTAAATGCCGTTTGCTAATCATTTTACTTACCTTTAAACAAAAACACAAAACTATCAAATTTTACAAACCAATTTATATTTTATTACTTCA